GAGAGAGAGAGAGAGAGAGAGAGAGAGAGAGAGAGAGAGAGAGAGAGAGAGAGAGAGAGAGAGAGAGAGAGAGCTCCGTGGTAGGAGGACTTTATAATTTAGATTGGGAGGAGGGGGGTGTAAGACGAGAGACAGTGAGAGTGAGCTCCCACTACGACTGGTCGAACATACTTCTACAGTTTTTATGGCAGTTATTGTTATGATTCTTTGTATTGTCATTATTTATCATATATATATATATATAATTTTTTAAATGAAGGTGGAGAAGATTGGAGGAGTCTTAGAGAAGTTCATTCTTTTTCTTAATTCTGCTTTTTTGAAAATTTCTGATTAATTTTATGGAATTTCGCATTCAAATAACTGATTGAAGTGTTTGTTCTTTTGTGAAGTTGTTTGTAATACCTCTTTTCTCATCTGACCGCATATACTGACTGCAATTATTGACGTCTGTACTGCATCTATCTGATCGCCGTAACGGTTTTGTCTCTAGAGCTGATTTGAAAGAATCATTGGGCCTCGCTGCACTACTCTCGAAATGTGCAAAAAGAGAGTGAATCCTCCGCTAGAATATGGAAAGATACACGGTCATGAATTTGGGTGGACGTCCCCGGCCGGGGTGAGGTTGTCATTGGCGATGGGGTTGGCATTCGGTTGTGCAGGGGTTGGTGGACTGTGTGGCGGCGGTTTGGAGCAAGTGCAGAGGCAGGAGCTTTGCATCCGTTCTGTGTGGGTTGATGATGGTGTATCGTTGACTGTGAGTGGGGACATGGGGGGCAGTCATTGGAGTAGACGAGGTTGATCCGGTTGTGAACAGAGTGCACAATAAAGAACGGGACGTTCGCTTTCGAGGTAGAAGAAAATAGAAGCAAAATCTTTCTAGGTAGAATAAAATAGAAGAAAAGAGGAAAAAAGAGATGGGCTTTGGAGTGGGGCGGTTGAGGAGCGACAACAGAGAGAGCAAAAAAGAACGGGTTGATCTCTTTCTTTTTTTTTTTTTTTTTTCAGAAGGTTGATCTCTTTCTAGGTAGAAGAAAACAGGGAAAAAAAAGAAAAAAGAGAAAAAAAGAGAGAAAAAAAAGAAAATGGAGGTGGTCATGGGCATTGCAGGAGGGGCGGTTGATGAAGCGGTTGATGGCAAGCCAGCGCGACAAGGAGAGGAAGAGCGAGACGAAGAGGAGAATGCAAGCCAGCTTTCCTTTTGTTAACGATGGTTGAGGATGTTTCCTTGGCGTTGGCCTTCTGCTCCAGGCATCGATTGTGTCTGCCATCATTCTTCGAATTACTTTGATAGGCAATTGACTTGGAATGCCTGCGGTGCATTTAGTTTCGAGTTTATTTTTCCGTATAGCAAAGTTTTTTTCACTTTTTTTTTTCCCCTGGGGCTTTCTTCGGCCCTTGCATGGCTGGGCCCCTAGGGCAAACAAGGTGACCCAGGCAGTCCGGCTGCTAACCTAGGATTTTATGGATTTTTTTCTTTTTTTTCTTTTTGCTGGATCGCTGCTCCTTGCACGGGAAGACCACCCACGACCTGGACGGCCCGGCTGGTGGCCTACGAAATGAGGATGGGGGGCCTGGACGGTACAAAAAAAAAAAAGAGAAAACTATGGCGCAGTCAGGGTTTGAGTTTGTAATTGCACTTGAGGCAAAAGGGCCAGTAATGCTGAATGTATATGACCTACGTTTCGGGTCCGGTGGGGTCGCGTGGGGGTGTGTTGTATTCGCGGGATTGCAGGCGACGTCTAGTTTGTTGCTTGATTTCTCAGTGGTGCGGAAAAGACAATGTTCATCAATATAGTTCTACTTCTTAACATCATTTTGCTCTACATGCGGGTTTTCTTGTTGTGAGGACTGTCAGCCTATGAAACACCAGCGGCCATGGTCACTGCGGGCACAACCGTGGACTGCGGCCGGGGCCGCTGCGGCAGCGGTCATGACCGCGGCCCGCCACTGCCAAGGGGAGAGGGGGGTTGGTGGTGGGGGTTTCGGATTGGGTTCTGGAACCCCGACTCTAACCCCTCGAGCAGAAAAAAAAACAAAATTTTGGGGGGGTGGTTTGTGGTGTGTGAAAAAATAAAATAAAAT